GTTACACTGAGAATCATCCACGTATTATGAACACGTCTCGGACCAAAAGGTGCGATTTGTCAATTAATTTTTTTCAATACATCGCTTTCTTTGTTAATTATGAAATCGAATCGGCGCCGCGTGTCTCATCTCACTGCGCCAGACTGATGATACGCATGCGCGTTGAAGACACACGCGCGCGTTCGGCGCATGCGCACGTGCGAGAACCTCGCGCGCAGAGGAGAAACAGAAACACGTTTCGTCGGTAACAAGAAGGTGGAATCAAACTCTCGTAAGAAATGCCGCGTTGAAAGAATTGGTACGAACCTGTGAGGTACTCGATCCCATCTCTATTGGCGGGTGTTTCGTTTTCGAGCTCGGCGAGGTTTGATACCGGAGAGAGAAAAGAGGATTTCTCGGTCGTAGCGGCGTTGCTAGCAGACCGGTTGTTATCCGGCCGTAAGTATACAGAGCCGGGCACAGGCGGGGAGGGAGGGAAGTGCACACATCGGTACCAACAGTGTAATTTGAGGGTAATTCCGCGAGTCGTATAACCTGTAGGTAATGCCGGCAGGCAGGCAACCAGCCAGAGAGTGCATCAGTGCGCTGCTCGTTTCGTTTAATTGGTCGTTCCCGGGTTTACGAGGTTTCAACCGAGGCGCTACGACGGCCAGAGAGACGCTACGCGCTGCAAAGGATGGCTCAACTGCCAACCACCGGGCGAAAATCTACGCTCGGTGATTTTGCGAGGCCATCGTCTATACCACCGCTTTCGAGTCAGAATTTTCCTCGCTCGGACAAATCTTTCGTAGGCTCGCGCGCAGAATGTTTGCAGATTTCCCTCTCTCGTTATTTCGTCGTCATTTACGTCGTACGCTTCTGCCCTCGCCCTCTCAACTCTCGACTTCGAAGCTGGCTTACAATTTTATCACTGCCCGATAGAGATCGGTAACAAGGTGAAATCAAGTGACGCAATAATAACTAAGAGAAGGTTGGTCATGCATGGTGATTACAATTTTTATCACATATCTACTCTACACGTTGAAAATACTAATTCGTGTACTGAAAATTAAAAAGAAAGAAAAAAGAAAAAAATATATTACGGCTGTAAGAGAATCGTAAAGACCAAACTGGCAAACTAGTTTGACGATGAGAGAAGTGGTCAAGCCATGAAACAGAAGTAGAATTAATTAAATATAGCGTGGCTGAGCTGAAGGTGAACGCGTAATCGAGTTGTAGCGGGATCCTTTCCCGATGCACTCGGGAACTGGAGGCTTGCCATATAGGTGGAGAAGCGTGTAACGTACGTACGTACGTACGGTACGTAGGAAATGCGAGCAGAGGGTTTAATATTGCTAGCCGAGATAGAAGCAATAAATGCTTGTCAAGTAAATCAGGATGAAGCGCCATCGAGGAGCGCGTAATGGCCGCATTAAGTGAATAACTCACGGTTGCAGTGTCAGACTCCGGGGCGCAACGTGAGCTGTGCGTTGGACTGTTAGGAACTGTTAGGGGTGATAGCGGTGCCATCAAACAACTTTACGGCGTTAAGTGCTCCCGAGACCGACTGTTGATATATTACCAACCTAATTTCTGCCAAATACCTATGCGCACGCTGTCTCTCACCGAAACGTGTATATTAAGCGCATCGCCGCTGCCGCCTCCATTCGTTTAATCTGTCGATGGGGGGTAGAGACAACGTTACGACTAAATGTCCGAAGCGTTGTCCTACCCATACACGAGGAGTCGCTTCGAATCTCCTTGTTAATTCTTTTTCCCGTAGAATTTCATTCGCGCGTATAGCCTGTTTGTAATATATTATGAATGACATTTAGTGGGACAGGGTCGAGTAATTCAGGCACTTATTCAGCAGAAGGAGGTTAGCAGAATTCAGTAAAACGATTACGAGAAAATACGGTACGGCAAGCTCCAAAATATAGAATTTTCTTTAATAACGAGACACCTCGTCAAAGGGATATAAAAATATACAAAAATTTCATAGATCGAAAGGCGAATGTTTGAGAGACGAATAAATAATCCATTCAGTCATCTCTGAGGCAAGACTTACTTGCAAAATTCTTACAGAAAGTCCAGAGTTCGAAGGTAAGTGAAGAACAGCGACGTCTAAAATAAAAGATAGGATACGCGACGACGTTGAACCGGTAGCCGGGTAGAGAAAAGAATGATTTAAGAACGGGATAATAGCGGCGGCGCGCTAACCAGAAATATTTCACACCGATGCCAAAACGACATCGTTTACACCGAGCGCCTTTGTTCCTCGAACGGTGCCTGCCTCCTGCTCCCCGGTATTCCCGCCCCCGCCCCCTGCCGCTCCCGGGCTTCATTCTTAGAATTAGTGACACGGAAAACATGGCAGTTTCGACGGCGTGCAGAGAGACAGTGATATACCAGGAAAACAAGCGTAAGAGCGCAGGAACCGAGGAATATATTTATAGCTGCCTCCAGCTATTAAGATAATTTATCGGGGCCATTACCGAACAAACGAGAGCATTAATCTATTCTAGCTTCATAAAGAGAACTTCGTCGACGATTTTGTAGCCTGCGCGCCAAACGAGCACTTCGGAGTAAATTGATGGATCCCCCTGACCTGGCTGAGGACCCTCCGTAAATTGCTCGTAAATTTTTATTTATTCCGCCGCAAATAAAACTTCGAGATGAAGGGCCAGAGAGCGAGAGAGAGAGAGAGAAGGAAAGAGAAAGGCAAGAAGAAGAAGAAGAGCGAGAGAGAGAATGATAAGAACCAGGAGGAGGGAGGCAAGAAGCAAGAGAGAAAGAAATGCGAGAACTCGGTTGGTCGCATCGATTTTCCAGCACTCGCGTTACCGTTATTCGTCGATTCCTAATAGCATCGCCGATTTTCCACGATCATAATTTTTAATCGAGTCTCTGTTGCCACCGCCGTCGTCGGCCAGGCATGGCTATCGGCATTTTCTATCTGCCCGCGATTTATATTCTGCAATATTTTGAAACGCGCGCGGCCGTCAGTGCGCGTCCGTTTCAATTTCGATAGTGTTTTCTAACTGGTGTCCCGTTAGAAGTCGTGGAACTCGTTTCGAACGTGTTAACACACACACGTGGTACGTTTGAATATCTAGGAATTAAGGATCCCTGGATATGTGCGCTCTATCTTAGTATTATAGTCTTCAGTGTCTTACAAGCAATGTAAACTTTAGCGTCCTGTTAGTAACAGCCGAATGTTACTAATACAGGTGGATGATTTTCACGTTCACACTGAAAGAATTGTTTGATAAAGTTTTATAAAGAAATTTTCATTCAATTGATGCGAGCAAAACGGACACGAGAAATACAGAGATGGGGCTCGCAGACCGAAGACGAAGTGAAAAAAAAAAAAAAAA